TCTCCGACTCAGCTGTTCGTCTGCCTGACTCTGGGCCTCCGGGTCTCTTTCTGCCTCAGTGTCTCTGTTTCTTTTCTGTGCTGCTGCCTCAGGGTCTCCTCCATCTCGGTTCCAGGCTGCTGGGAGGCAGATTCAAAGTCTCGGTCTCTGTCTTGATTACCTCGTCTTGCTATTTGAGCCAGTCCATTCCAGACCAGGTCCGGCCTGAATCCCTTAGCTCGTCCACATGCTGCACCAGCAGACCCTGGACAGACTGAGGGCATGACAGTTCCCTCCTCATCCTCATTTCCATTGCCACTGCAAGCTGATGGCTTCTCTTGACCTCCTTTTTTTGCACTCGGATAACCAGCCCAGGCAGGGCATGTACTCTACCACTGCCACACTCAGACCTCTCTGCACCCTTGGGAGAGACAAGGAAGGTTTGATTGCTCCAATTTTACATGCAGGGAAACTGAGGCTGCAGGCGGTGAAGTGACTTGCTTAAGGACATGAGGCTACGGAGCAGCAGGTGAAGAACTCTGGTTTTCTGACTCCAGAAGGTCATTTCCCACTCATTTTTCAACTGTGTTTTCTCTGTCCTAGCCAGACTGTCTCAGTATCCCACACTCATTTCTTTTTCTAAAGCCAGGCTTTTTCTAATAGTCAGGCTAAGGTAGGGAGAGGAGTACAGAATGACCAGGATGCCATGGTTCTTCATTCTGTGTCTCTAGTGTTCCCAAGACTTACAGCTATTTTGTCTCTGTACCTAATAAGTACCTTACCCATCTGTTGCTAGCTAACCCTTAATAATGATATGCACTCTGCAGGTCTAATTGGATCTGGGATTTATTCATTCCTTGCCAGTTCCATCAGCAGCATTTGACTTGAGCCCATCACTCGTCGTTTCTCTTAGTGATCTCATCTGGTCATTGGGGCTTTAAATTATATCTTTATACTGAAGATGCCCACAATTTATATCTCCAGCCTGGAACATCTCTCCTGAACTCCTGACTTGTGTATCCACCAACCTGCTCAACATTTCCATTGGCTAACAGGCATCTCAAATTTAACATGTCCAATACCGAGCTTTGATCTTCTCTATTAAACTTGCTTCTCCCACAGTCTCTCGTCTCAGTTGCTAGCAGCTCCATCCTTCCTGTTGCTCAGGTCACAAACACTGGTGTCATCCTTGACCCTTCACTCTCACATCCTTCGCTCTCCACTTTCCTGCTACTGCCTTGATCCAAGCACCGTCACCTCTCACTGAGGTTGTCGCATTAGCCCCCTCACTTGTTTCTGTCCTTGACCCCCTTCAGTCTTTTCTCAATGTAGCATCAAGAGTGAACCTTTTAAAATGGGAATGAGATTATGTCACTTCTCTGCTCCAAACTCACCAGTGCCTCCTATCTCAGAGCAAAAGCCAAAGTCCTTATTATGACAAGAAAGCCTGTCTGCTCTGGGGGCCTGTTTTACCTCTCTGACCTCAGCTCCTACACCATCCCCTTTGCTCACTGCTTCTCCAGCCACACCAGCCTTCTTGCTGTAACCTGATCACAGCCAGTCCCCTCGCTCCAGCTTCTAGAACTTTGCCCACCTAGTGCAGTTCCAGAACTCTGTCCGCCACCCTTCATGTCCTCACAACTCCCCCCCCAGCACACACTCTCCCTATCCCTCATCTTTCTAACACACTCAACATTTTACTTATTTTATTTATAGTCTGTCCTGCCAGCCAGAATGTGGGCTTCCTGAGGACAGGGATTTTTTGTGTGTGCTAGGTTCACTGCTGAATTCTAAGCACCTAAACCAGTATCTGCCAGGGAGCCAGGAAAAAAAAATACAAGTTACTGCCTACAGGGACAACTGTGTCCTAGGTGGCATGGCAGGGACAATGGGAGCAAGAGAAGGAAGGGCTGTCTGTGGTGGAGGGTTTTGAGGAAAAAGATTTCACAGAATTACTGATTGTGGTAGATGTTTGACCTGAGTTTTGGCAATTTAAGGAGGGCCACACACAAAAATCCAATTAAATCCTCTGTATTCATATCTCAGGACACAGACTCTGGGTAGGGAGCACAGGCTTGCTCTGTGACTTTGGGCAGCTTCCTTCCCCTCCCTGAACCTCAGCCGCATTAATGAGAAAAATAAGAGGGCTGGGGTACAATGCACATTTCTAACCAGGAGTTCCAAAGAGTTCACACCATTAAAAGTGGATGTGGCACGGGTCTTAATTTCTTTCTTTTTAAATCCATCAATAAAGTATTCTATTATGCTCCCCCTTTCAAACGGAAACATGGGACGTCTCCAGATGTGTGTGAGGTGTTTATGGATGGTCGGCTTGGGGGACATGCTCAGGTGAACATCGTTAGCCACCGTCATGGTTTTTAACACTGAACAGCTTAAATTGTTTTCAATCTTATTTATAGATTGTTTAATTTATAGGCACATTGGATCATGACCTATATGACAGGAAGTATGAGGAGCATTGATGGCTGAATTACAAAAACCTGATGCTGAGTTATGATTAAAATGATAATTTTGCAAATTTGCTTCAAGTTGATCATCATCAGAAAAGAATGGTAAAGTCTTCTAATCAAAGTCATCAGTGACTAATAGGTCAAAAGCCAATGTTAAGAAAAATAAAATCTAATGATAATCCAATCTAAATTGGCTTTTTGTTTACCAGAAAGGCAGACCAGCTTGGCCTATAGTATGTTATTTGTGGAGATGTACTTCCCAATGGATTCTAACATTTTTTATTTCGTATTTTAGAAATACAACTCAACATTTTTAGGTTTTTCTTTTTTCACTTTAGCACAAAAGGCAATCATAAAATGAAAGGAATTTTTTATCCTAAACACATGGTTAAATTTCAATGTACATTTGGTCTCCAAATGTGCTATATAGTCTCATTTGTTGACAAATCATGCTTTTTTTTGCAATCAATTTAAAATCAGCACCTGTCACTTCTTAAAAAGGGAAGAGTGCTTTTTAAATCATCAGTTTAATTAAATGTTAAAATTGTCTTCAATTAACAATATACTATTATAATTTTTTTTCTTTAAGTAACTTCCTAGAGACAGTCTGAGATAGAGCTAACATACTAGGGAGAAGTCAACAAAGGGGTCTAGAGACTGGGAAGCGGCTAGAAGACTACAGTTTCTATTAGTTGACCAGGTGGATAGGATGCTATCAAACAAAGAGAACAGAGGAAAGAGCCAGACAGAGGGGAGAAAATTTGCTTTTTTAACATGTTGAATGTGTGGTGCCTGCATGGCCTGGCGTCCAAGTGAAACCCTGGAAATGCTGTTTTGATCTGGGCAGAGAGATCAGAACCAGAGGAATTACTCTGTGAGCTGGTACTTCTATCACAGTATCTAACACACTTTATTGTAATATACTTCATCAAATTGTCTGGCTCTGCTGCCAGTCGTAAGCTCCTTGTGGCAGGAACCACGTGTATCTTGCTCACTCTTGTTTTCCTGGTATCTAGCACAGTGCACAGCATATAATAAGATCCCAATGAATGTTTTTTAAAAGTTACTCCTTTAACATACACCATGCAAAACTAGTGAGTTTTAAATCACTAAGGGAGTTCTCAAGATAGCAGGTTGCTATGAAAGGGGTTTGAGCAACACCAAGTGTTGGGAAGCACTTGCCTGAGGAATCCCTATGTCTCCTTAGGCCCGCTGACACTAAATCAAGAATTGATGACCACTTGCTCTGTAGGACCAGCAGTGGGGGTCTGTGGTGTGCACACCATTCTAGGATAGCAAAATCCCCCACTGCAATGATTTTAAAATACAGTTGCCCGTTATCCCTTGGTATCTATGGGGGATTGGTTCCAGGACCCTTCATGGATACCAAAGTCCCCAGATGTTCAAATCTCTAATATAAAGTGGCGTTGTATTTGCGTATAACCTACATACAACCTGCCATATACTTTAAATCATTTCTAGATTACGTAGAATACCTAATGCAATGTAAATGCTATGTAAACAGTTGTCAGTAGGTGCAAATTCAAGTTTTGCCTTTTCGAACTCTCTGGAATTTTTTATTTTGAAATTTTCATCCGTGGTTG